AAAAAAAAAAAAAAAAAAAAATATCAAGTGAAAATGGTTTTGAAAATTAATATAATTTGGAGTTGTTTTTGAATTTTTCTGAGTGAAGTGAAAATTTTGAAAATAGTTTTTTGGAGTTTTTCAACTTCCGAAATTTAACTTCAAGTGAAATTAGAAATTTTCATGGTCAAAAACCGATTCCAAAAAAAAAAAGTGAAAATTTTCTAAAAATTAAAAGAAAAATTATGGCCAAACAGGCCCTTAATGTTGCTTTTTGCTGTAATTTGAGTTCCTCCTCATAAATCATAATTATTTTCTTCTAATTTGAGTGGCATCCCATGTTGCTCCGAACCATATCGACTTATTGATTTTATAAGGTGAAAGTAAACTTTCATTAAGCATAGTTAAGCAGTGGCGGAGTTAAAGCTTTGATTGCGAGTTCGACTGAACCTGGTAGCTTTGATCAAGTCTTAAAAATTAATAGTATCTAATTTTCCAAACATTCCAAATGGTTATTAGTTTTGCCTCTTAGAGACTATGCATCATTATCTCACCAATTTCATCATGGTTATTGTTTGGTGTTTAATAGCATGTTGTTAATATTACCTCCGTTTCATATTATCTATTTGCTAAAGTTTTTTAAAAAAAAAAAAAGAAGTTTACTGGTCTTAATCATAAGAATATTTGCCTGAATTGCTTGTCTCTCTTGAACGTCTCACTTAATTAACACAACATTAATTGGAGGTAAATTTGAAGAGAAATAATAAAATGATTCTTATCTCGTTAAATATTTCAGAACATAATTCAGTTTATCAAAACGACTAATATTTGTGATCAGAGGGAGTAGTTCACAAATTTACTGCTTTTTACAATATAAGAATATGCTCAATGATCAATCAACAACATCCCCATGTGAAACTAATAATATAGTCACCTGCATATTAAATTTGAATCTTTAGCATGTTGTCCTGTTTGTTACAATGAACCAAACCATGTTTCAATACCAAGTACTGTTGGCAATACTGTCCACCCCCCCCCCTCCCCCGGTACACACACCCCACCCCACACCCCATCCACCCCCACCAACCAAGATCTGCAACTACTATATCAACATTTACAAGACTTGAAAAACCAAGATTTCAACAACACAACAGACAACAACAACAACAAACTCAGTGTAATCCCACAACTTGATTTGGTGTGGCAAACAAGTGACAGAAGGATGACGGCTTTTTATTCGGAACGTAGAGTAGAAAGGGGCTGTTCCGCAGTGAAGCAAATGATCTAGCCAATCATTCTTCTACCGATTATCCAATTTTGGTATTCTGTAAGTTCCTAGGTCATATCGAAATGACTCCATTGAGAGTAAGATCTGCTCGATATATAAGTAGTATAGTCACTACCTGTAAGGCAAGCCCCATAGACACCTTACTACTTTCTAAGCTTTCTCTCTTGTCTCGCCAATCTAGTATTGCGGAATCTAGGGAGGTTAGTATGTAAGCAAACCTTACTCCTACCTTGTGGAGGTAGAGAGATTGTTTCTGATAGATTCTCGGCTCAGGAAAAGCATAGTCACAGCATAGTTGAAAAGAAACGCAGCAGACAACAGTATAATGGATATTGAATTTCATCTTGCTTCAGAACCAACAGTTGTATGAGAAGAAATAATACATGATGCTAGCGATAAGAGAAGGCGATTCGCAGTATAAAATTGCTATGACAATACTTGCTAAGACTCAAATATATACAACAAAAAATCAGATAAATCAGATACCTTCTAAAGAATCTTATGAAGAACTTCATGTTGACTTTTCGGAAACAACAGTTCCTAACCCCGCGATTGATATACTGGAAACAGGGAAGGAAAAGAATAGAATTTTACTCAAATCAAAATTTTTAACTGAAATTAGGATCTTTATTTCCAGCAATAACTTTCCTATGACGCTTGGATTTCCTCTCTCTCCCACGCTTCGTGGTTATCTTTTTGAGAGGAGTAGGTATGACGGTTGATGTTGAAACGATAGGTGAGGTCTGTCGCGCTTCAAGAATTACAGGCGGTGGAGGATGAACAATCACACTCGCACGAGGTGGAGTTGGGCGCTCGAGAACGTCTCTATGGTACCCCTGCAGATAGTAAAGAAAAAATCAATTTTTTTAATTAAGAAGATACAGCTATCCAGCACACAGGAAGTAAATCGGAAAAGGTCATCTTGATAAGTAGCTAAAACTATTACTCCCTTCGTTTCCTTTTATATGGCGGTATTTAATTGAGCGCAAAGACTTTTGGCACATTCCGACACATTCCAAGAGTACGCCTAGAACTTGTGATATTTAAACATACCGTGACATTTCAATGGCTATAAGAGTACGACCTCTAGGGCACAATGAAAAGTTTGAAGTGGAGTTTCCAAATATAGAAAGATGTCATTCTTTTTAGAACAGATTAAAAAGAAAAGAGCGGCATATAATATAGAATACAGGAAATATCAATATGTGGACCAGCAATGGCAATTACAAAGTTGCGTCGTTCACAATCCAGAAGGTAAAGACATGAAGAATACCTGAATCACAAAGTTGCGCCGCTCACAATCTAAGAACATATTCAAAGTCCAATTTGTCTTTGACATGATCTTATCTCTCACAATAGCAAAACTAATTTGGTCTCTTGGAGTAAAACGGTCCACTTCGTTAAACCAAAGGCAAGTAAACAGATTGGAGATTGGATTGTGTTCCCTTATTATTACACATCCCTCAGGGACATCTGCACACAAATAGTATGTTAGTATGGTTATTAGACAGAAAACGGATACGAGGTAAAGAAAGATGAAAAAAAGAGGATCATAATCTTACCACTTGTAATAGGAAGTTTAGCCCTGGAATATGGAGTTAGACCTTCCTTTTTATAGAATTCAACCTGAAAGTCGATGGAAGCATTGTCGAACTTTGCAGCAACCTTATTAGCTTCTGCTTCTACAAACACATCAAAGCGCTTGTAGTGCCTTGATATAGCAAAACTGGCATTTTTTCTCCACAAGAACCTGACATTGAATTGAAAAAACTTGAGAGTGATTCAACTTGTGAAGAACAATAAAAGCACATCTCTATGAACAAGTCAATGTTCAACAGTTAAGGATAAACCGGTGTCTTTAGTCAAGAGACTGAATTCAACCCATAAAACGGGACATGGCAGCCATATAGGTGGCTGCTGTTAGTATCAGTAAAGTTTTAAAAGAAGAAATCCAATGTCTTCAGTCAAGAGACTAAATTCAATCCACAGAAGGGGAGATAGAAAAGGGCAGTCCGATGCATAAGCATCTCGCGTTCATGTAGGATCCGGGAAGGGCCGTACCCCAAGGGGTGTGATGTAGGCAGCCTATCCTGATGCAAGCATCAGTGGCTAATTCCATGGTTCGAACCTGTGACCTATAGGTGACACGGACAACTTTACCGTTGCTCCAAGTCTCCACTTTAAGAAGGGGAGATTGTGGCCAATTATGATTTTTGCTTTCGCATATATGAGATATGGATTAGGTCTTAAATGTACCTTTCAAGTATTTGATATGGATCCACAACAAGCTCAAGTTTTCCATCGATCCACAGAGAATAGCGAGCATTAGGAAAAAGCCTGTGGAGTAGAAGCTTTGGAACCTACAGTGGTAACAAATACATGTCACAAATTATCAAATCATTATATAGTCTATTTCTCCATAAGGTAATAAAAATTGGGAAGTAATTAGACAACTATCCACGTTTAAAATCAATATTAAGTTTCATACAGGCAAAGCCAAAAACAAAAGATAAAATGCCTTCTGAAGCTCGAATATGTATACTATGGTTGTGCATGAAATAAAAAGGGCAGCCCGGTGCACAAGGCATCCTGCGTTCATGCAGGGTCCAGGGTAGGGCCGCAGGGGCGGATTTACATGGACCCAAGCGGTGTCACGGGACACCGCTTCGTCGAATTTTTTTACTATTTATATATATAAAAATAATAAGTAAAACAGAAATACAAGATAAAATCATTAAAAGTGACACCACTTGCAACAAAACAAATTAGTAGTCTAGTGGTTGACAGCTTCAAGTTTGATGTGTGAGGTCTTGGGTTTGAACTTCCTTGGCTCCATAAAATATTTTTTGACTGTTACGGGCCTCTTACTAAAAATAGTGACACCGCTTATGAAAAATCCTGCGTACGCCACTGTAGGGCCGTACCCCAAGGGGTGCGATGTAGACAGCCTACCCTAATGCAACCATTAGTGGCTGCATCAAATAAGAATTTGACAAAACTAAGAAAATAAATGCACTTTGTGCTTGCTCATTACAGTAGACAACGGAACTCTAGATATTTCCACAAAAAGACCTATTTAGAGTTAGATTCAAGAGCCTTTTCAGATTGTCGACTTCAAGATTTAGAATGCAAAAGTCCCCATTTAGGCAGAAAGTTGGATAACGATTCAAACTTCAGATCTAAGTAGGAAAAGATATCGGCTACCCCTTGGACAAAACACTGAATAAAGGATAAGGTGGCGAATATTTACCTTTCCATTTCGCCTCGGATCGTTATAAGGTAGGTTGTGTACAACAACAATTCTCCATAAACCAATTCTCATGCTACTATTTAGCTCACTTGAATTTCTCAAAAATGCTTCTGTTTCCTCATCCACGAACATATAGAAGCAGGCATTTTTCTTTGCATATTCGCTGGTATTCTTTGGTTGCCGTATCAAATCAAAGGCCCCTTATCAAGAGAATATTTGTTAAAACTAAGGTCCATCAGATACAAGATGGAAAATGTAACAAATGAATCATCAGTTGAAAGACCAATACCAAATATTGCCGATGCCACCACGACACCTTGACAAGATTCCATCTCAACAAGGTCAGAATCGTCAATGTCAAAACCTGTCCGATGTCCAGGTCTGATTCCTCTGACAAAACTGTCAATTGAACGTGAAATGAAAAATCACAAAATGCACTAAATCAGAGGATCTTGTGAAAAAACCGACAATCTTTAACATAAAGTTCCCAAGTAGAGAAAATATCATACCCGCAATGCACACTCATGGACTCTCTTATATCATACGAATCATTTCTCAGCATCAGCGAAGGATATCCGCCAAAATCTGAACCTCCAAACTCGGTTTTACTTGGATTTTCTTCATGGATGTAAGTCAAATTGCTAACACCAGGAGAAAAGGACGGTGCATTCGGCATTAATGCAATAGCTTGTTCAACAGGAAGGTAGCACACCGGACATGCTGAGGAACACAAGGAATGGAAAAATGAGATCAGGTTCAGCATTTAGAAGTTATATATTCGGACCTTCAATCCATTTTAAGGAGAAAATTTTCAGAATACGACAAGATTGTAAAACTTACGCCGTGGTCCAGTCCTCTTCTTATCTGCTGGCGGGGGAGGCAATGTGAAGCCTTCACATGGATTTCCAGGAGGAAGAGTATATCCTTTGAAATATACAGGAGGAGAAGGCAAAGGAAAAGAAAGAGGAGATTGGATAGTTGATGCACTTCGGCCAACATTAGTTTGTTTTATTGACTCAATATTCCTAAAAATATAATTTTGTAAAGTCTCTGGAGGAAACATCCTATTACTTATGGAGGTGTTAAGTTCCACTGCATCTTCACCTATAAATGAGTCGAAAACTCGATCGTGTTAGAAGGCAGAAAAGGATTCTTAAGAGATGAAAATTTAAAAGATGTACAAGCACCAACATATGGAACAGCCAGATCGAAAGTATTTCCTTAAAAACAAAAGTAGAATATTGAACAACAGAGGTGGTCATTAAAAATCTTCAGCGTAAACTAGACGAATTCAGGAACTCTCCTAATCAAGTAAAAACTTAAAAAGTAAAGAGCATACAAGAAAAATCATATATTTATCAAGCTCGAATACCGCCCGATAACTACCACATAAAAGCCTCTCAAAAGCTCCACAATCCTTATGGCATTAACTCTAAGAATTAACATAAATAAGATTTCCAATTTTGTATTAGTGCTTAATAAACAAATTCTCCATCTTAATATTTCCAATTGCATGAACACGAAACTATAGCTAAAGCTCTGATCAGCATAAAAGATTTGACATCTAACATTCACAGAGTATGTAATTTTAAACTAAAAGTTGGAGCCAAAATCCTACAATGTGAAAAAGTTTAGAGACCAAACCTTTGCCAACATACAAGACCCACAGAAAAGCTGCGGCAGAAACGACACACAATAGCAGCATGCCCACATTCTTTCGAGGGGCGAATTTGCAGATCCGGAGAAACAATCCCTCTTTCTCCTTAAACAATTTAGGGGGTTTTCTTGATGGAATAGGAGGTGTTGTTTGGATTGGTGAGGAACTGTTCTGAAATAGCTGTTGCTGCAAAGAACCATAACTTCCCGAAGAACGAAGACCCAATGACCCTGTACTCATTGTTGTCCCCTCAATCTTGCCACTTCACCTCTCATTTCCCCCCTCCTCTCATCCACATCCAAAACTCTATCGTCCTACTAAAGTTTGAATCTTTGCACTAAAATTCACCTCCACATTTAGAACACCTCAACAAAATCAGCTCAAAATGCCACAAAACTTCTCGCCACACGAATTTGGCAATGCCAATCTAATACAAAAAAGGCACCAAATTCACCAAGAAAAGAGATACCCAATTGGCCAAATGATATCTAGAGCTACAATCAATCCTCCCTTGCTTCTTTATCTTCCTAAAGTTTGAATCTTTGCACAAAACTTCACCTCCAAATTTGCAACACTTTAAAGAAAATCAGCTCAGAACTCCACAAAACTTCTCACTACACAAATTTAGCAATACCAATCTAACAAAAAAATCACCAAATTCACCAAATCTAGAGTTACAATCAATCCTCTCTTGCTTCTTTAACTCTCTAAACAAGAAAATGATACCCAATTCACCTCCAAACTTGGAAAACTTCAAGAAAATCAGCTCAAAACAATTTGGCAATGCCAATCTAATAAAAAAATGGACCAAATTCACCAAAAAACCAGATACCCAATTCACCAAATGATCTCTAGAGTTAGAATCAATCCTCTCTTGCTTCTTTATGGATCTAAAAACAACAACCCCACTTCACCAAAACTATTAATGCAGAGTCTTAAATAGTAAGAATGTAAAAAGAGTTTGACATTTTACAGCAAGTGAAGATGTAAACTTTGCTTCTTTATCTCAAATACAAACAAACCCAAATCAAGAAAATGTATAATAGTATAAAAGATTTTATTAAAACATACAAAACAGTCACATTCAAAACCAACCAATCAAAACCCACTACTCAAAATCAATCCTACCAATCAAAATTAGAAAAAAAAACATTGGTTCTTGAAATATACAAAATTGCAGTGGCAATAAATTACAAATTATTGCCACTGAAATTGAGATGAGGTAGAAATGATTTATAGGGTTTAATGAAACCAATCAAATCTGAGATCACAGTTCACGAGTACTTATTATTATATTTTTTTTGGAGTTTATTTTCCATTTTTATAGAGGATATTTCTGAAAATTTTATTGTCTTATTTATTTTGTTCTATATATGTAGATCAATAACTGGAAATTTAAAAAAATAAATTAAAATATAATTGAGGCTAGCATGCGCCATGTGCGCGTGATAACTGGACTGTTGTCTGTACAAAAGGGCCAAATAATACTACACGATTTTGACATTGCTGCTTAACATAATTAGTTGCTGTTGGATGACAGTTTTTAGCTTATTAATCACGTAATTAACGGTGACTTCTTACTTACACTAATGTAATTAACTCCCCTTTGCTTGTGGGAACATAATTGGAAGAATGTATACAATTTTATCCAAGTACGTAATTGCTCATTAGTAAAATTATTTTTGGAAGATTTGCATAAATAGTAGTGTTACCGATTATATTTTTAACCCTGACAAGATAAGTTTTGGAAAAATAGACTCAGTTGTCATAATTTTAAAGCACGCTGCCAGAATTTTAAAGCATGCTCCCTGAATTATGAATTTGACAGCCTGCTTCAAAAATTCTGGCAGCAAACTTTAAAATTTTGGTGCGGGGCTATTTTACCAAAATCTTTCTTAATAGGGTCAAAATATAAACGATGGTTCCAAAAAGGTCATTCAACGTGTGTGTGTATATATAAAAAATCAAAATTATTTTCTTTTTAAATTTTATTCGAGTTTTTCACATAGTTCACGATCGAGGAAGTTGAAAATGTCGCCCGATGTAACTCAACAATAATAGTCAGGAGATCACTGAGATTTCAACTCGAGATGCCAACTCATAATATTGTGATTTGATTTTAAACCTCTTCTAATTATTGTATTATCCTCTTGGAAAATTTATTATCTTCTCTTTTTCTCCATTTTGTTTGCTTACCATATTTATCATCCTCATAACTTTGATTGATGAGAGTATGCCTTCAATATGTGTAACATGTTTGCAAATGTGACCATAAATTACTAAGGCCTTAAATTGGAAAGGTGACCAAATCTTTCTAACTTGTTTGCCATGTGACCACACAAATTGATGAAAATTTTCATTATTAATCAATAGAAAAGGAAAGAAGGCAGGAAAGAGACCAATAATTATTAAACATAAAAGGAAAGTAAATAAATATGAAGAGAAAAGTTTTCCCCGTTAGGGTCGTAGAGGTTTTTTGTTTTGGTTTTTAACCTAAGTTTGTTATTCACGCATTGGTCCTGACTAATTCAAATTCGCGATATGTAAGGTCCATTAATGGTGAATATATTCTAGGGAAAATGATATTGTATAGTCGCTCTCAAAATAATAGTTGAAAATTATATATTTTTGTACATAAATACATTCTGATATGTTATATATAAAAAATATACAAATTTTTTACACTTTTATTGTTATCGAATATACATAGTATCTACCGCGGGCAAAAAGTGATATTTGTCCTATATTCTATTTATCTCATCACAGTGCGTAAAGGTCCAATATGTACAATTATTACAAAAGAATTTTTAATTTTTTTTTCTTTTTTCCAAAATAAAATTTTGATGGCTAAAATAGAAACATGAAGTCGTTAAATTGCCCAAATGACTTCTGTCATTCTATTGGGGCATCTTCCTATTTCTTTGAAAGTATTATTTATAAGTCAATAAAGTGCAATAAAATAACGATCTCGCGTAAACATTTTTCAAACAAAGCGGGACTGCTTAACAACTTTAAGACCTCATTTGTTTTTTTTAAAAACTAGTCTTAGAAATAAAGTGCAATGGATAATTTTTTTTTAAAAATACATAAATAGTAAATTAAAATTATATTTGAATTATAAAATAAAATTTAAACTCCTGAAATTAATAAATATTGATCAAATATAAATAACTCAACATATGAAGAAAATATGTCTCACAAAATTCCTGTATTACCAATTTATATATTCAACTTAAACTCATTTCCAGCTTTATGATTTCATTACCTCAATTTCACAAGTTATCGTATTTTCTTTTTAGTTCCAGCAAAAACATGTAACCCTTAAAGATTTTAAATTTTTTATTTAAAAAATCTATTTTCAATTTTTTTGTGCTGGTGATTTTCAAGTTCATTCTAAAAATTAAAATACAAACAAGTTAGCTAACTAATAGCAAACATTCTATTTTTCTTTAATTAATAGGAAATATTATATGAATTATTTTTGACAAATTAAAAAAGAATAAATTACGATCGAAAAAAGTAGAATCCAACCACTATATTTTATATCATAAATTTTAGTTGATTTTAAAGTCCTAAAATATTAAAAAAAATAATTAAAGGATAGTTTTGTTTAATGTAAAATTTATTTTTAAAGGAATCTTTACACAGCAAGCCGGTATGGTTCACTATTTACTTTTTTCAACTTGGTATACATAGTCTTATACATATATTATATATGCACCAGCTATTTGTAGCTTAAGCAGTTGGTGGTCAACTATTTAGAAAAAAACTAATTTGAAAGTTAAAAAGGTCTATCAAAATTAAACTTAGTTAAATATTCTTCTCACATACTTTTATCACAAATATTCAAAACAACATGAATGAAAAAACGAAAATTTTGGTCTTTTGGATTTTGCGAGTGAAGGTTGGTCCTACAACTCCTCGAAATATAAATGAATAATTAACGATTTAAAGCCGAAAAATTACTAATGTAGAAGTAATGGTATACCACAATTTATATGATATATAAATAACTACAATTAGCCATCAATGGATTAAAGAACTTAAAAGGCGAAGAAAAATAATTAATGTGTTGCATTTAACAAAAATCCAAAAAAATAATTTATGAGAACTTTAAACTTATCAAAGTAAAGATAAAAATGTTATTTGACTACATAATAAAAAATAAACATGTAAAAAATAACAAATAACTTACAACACGCTTAATATTAGATGAACTAAGAAATCTCGTGTGCAAAGAGTTTGATATCTAATATTGTAGTTTTTAACATGCTTAATATTACGTATTCTAAATAATTACACTAAAAGTTTAACTTTTAACATGAGATAGTAACGCTCTTAGGACAGAAAAAATAGCAAATTCTTTGCTGCACTCAAAATTCTAAAATTTAGGAGCTTTTGCATACTTCAAATAAGGAAATATTTAATAAGTAAAAGTTTAGTTGATTTAAAACATCTAAATATTAGGGAAAAACTTAAATGACAATTTTGTATAATGTAAATTCTATTTTAAAGGGGTAAAAAAGGCGAACGACATTTCGCTAAGGGCTTCGTACTTTTAATATACTACAGATATAGATTAAGACGTATGAATCTAAATACACATTTGAATATCAAGATGTGCATTAAGATTATAACGTCTGAATCTGAATACACATCTGAATATTAAGATATGTATTAAGCTCTGAATACCAAATGAATAAGACTATTTATTTTTAACATCTGAATGTATAAAATTTATCTTTATTTAATAATTAATAAACATAAAATTCTAATAATTAATCTAATATTCTATCAAAATATATATTTTGTAAAATATGGTAGTTAGTGGTGGTGATTGCTAACGGTGGTGCTTGTGAATGTCGATTAGAGGCGGTGGTTGGTGGTGGTTTTGGTTGAGGGTGGCGGTTCTGAGTAGTAGCTAGTGGTAATTGGTAGTGATGACAATTATGGTTGAGAATGGTGGTGGTAGGTGGTAACAATTAATAATGGTAAGCGGCGATAGTGGTGGTGGTGGTTGTGACTAAGAAAAGTGGTGGTAGTTTATAATGGTGGACAGTGCCAGCTATGGTTGTTGATGGGAAGGGTTGGTTAGTTGTGGTAATTGAGGTGGATGAGTTTGTGATTGTGGTTAAGAATGATGGCGGTGGGGCTGGTGGGGATTCTAGGTGGTGGTTGATGATAATGGTGGCGACTGATAATAGGTGAATTTGACTATAATCACACCTTAAATAATCACCTTCTTGTGTAGTTTTAATGCTAAAAGTGATGACAAAATGCTCTTATTAGTGCTTTTCATGATTTGTAGGTGATATATGTATAAAGACGGCTAAGGAGCAGTTTTGGAGTCAAAAGTGATGAAAAAGAGGCCAACTGTGAAATTTTCTAAGTGAACCGTGCAAAAACAGGCCGAAGATTCAGAGAACTGGATCCACCGCGGTTCCACCGCGACCGCGGCAGAACCGCGGTGGGAAGCAGCTGCAGAAGATTGAGATTCCGCGAGGGTGTTTGGCCGCGGTTCTACCGCGACCGCGGCAAAACCGCGGCAGGCGCAGTAAACTTCAGGGACCAAAGTGTCAATTACGGGATTTTTAGACCTAAACCCTATTTAAAACATTAGACTTCGCCCAAGAGAGGCATGTATTGATTTTTTTAGGTTTCTTAGCAAGGAAAAAGATTGGGAGAAAATACTCTAAACATCTTTCTTCTTTTCTGTTGATTTTATTATGAATTCAAGCTTAGTTTATTTTCCCATAGCCATGAGTAGCTAAATTCCTTGTCTAAGGCGTTGATGGAACCTATTGGGTGATGAACTTCTTGTTTATGTGAATACAAATTGCTAGTTTAATCTTTATTTGTTCAACTTCGTGTTCGTTGTAGTTAATTGACAGGATCCTCAATTAGTTGTGCCTATTTAGTGTGCATAACTTGGAAAAGAGTGCATATTTAGGGTATTGTTGAACAACACCACTCCTAGATTATTAGAGGAATCTATAATTGCGAGCTTAAAGGCGGGATTAGGAATAACGAAGCCTTGGGTGCAATCTAAAGTGAATTGTGCTAAATAAAGCAAGCTAGTGTATCTCGGGAGAGTGCAATAGTAGATTACTGTGATTACTCGGGAGAGATTTGCGGCAGGATTAGCGTTCATGATTGATAGAGATGTGTGGGTAAATTTGTATGAGCATAAACAGAAGGGATTCCATCAATAGGGGAAATCATTGCCTTAGCTTTTTCTCATAATTGTTTACAACCCTTAATTTTTACTTAGTTACAGCCATTTAGTTATTTGCAAGCTAGTTATTAAAGAACACTTAACTGAGATTTGAATATTTGGGAAGTTGGT